TTAATTTATAGGCTATTCTTTAATTGCTTATCTTACCTTCGAGTTATTTTTATTGCTTTGATTCAAATTTATAAAAATTTCACTCATTGATTGGTTAATTTAACTAAGATGAAAAGGAATTTCATTTTTTGCCCAATCCCTTTTACTTTAAAACCTTGTAGGGCAACCTTGATCTACTTTACTACATTTAATTGTACACTTACGAAACGTTTAAATTTTATGTGCATCAATGCTCCTCTCCATTAAATATTATAAGTCATTTTTCTCAAAGTATCATGTTAAAAAAGATAAGACATATATTTTGAGCATTTTAATATGTAATTAATAAATTTTTTTAAAATATCTTTAATTAGGGATATAATTAATAAGATTTTTTTAATTAAGACACCCTAATAACTATAAAAGTAAATATGAAAAAATATATAATTTAAAATAAAATTAACTAACGTTATTAGTCATTGGAGAACATAACTCAATTAAAAGTACATTATAATATTAATTAAACAAAAATGATAACTAACAAGAATTGGTCTGGCGAAAGTGATTATTTCTTGATAACATAATAAACCAAGATTCAAATCTTAGCTATTATACTTTGAATAAAATTATCTCTAATAAAAAAATATCAATAAACAATATATGATATGTCCTCACGAATCATGATGAAGATTAGATATCAACGCATCATATGAAAATTAAAGGTCCCTATTTGTATTTAGTTTTACTTTTATTGTTTAGCTTGTATTTGTCATTTTCCTCAAAGTCAATGGTCATAACTTATGAGTTTGGTATATTTCTAGACGGTGTTATTTCAGTATGCCGTTGAACTTCATTATGTACAATATTTTTTAAAAAAATTTTATTATTAGTTCGGCATATTTCTAGACGGTCTAAAATTATGTGTTGAACAAAACAATGATTATATCATACATTCAAAGGGACGTCAATTTTTTTCCAAAAAAAAAAAACAAAGCAGTGTTTGAATTAATAGATTTAAATTTAAAATTTATGCATTTAAAATATTTTGTTTGAATAATAGAAAATTTTAAAAGTGAAAGAAAGATGAGATGAAATATGACACAAGAGATTATAAGTAACAGGTTTGTCTCCATTTTTCAATTGGTGAGAAACAAGAATGAGAGACAGAGAAAAGATAAGAGTAACAAAGGTACTAATAATGAAAAAGAACTTCAATAATTTTAATTATTATTGACTAGTAAAAATGATAGACACTATATATTGGGATCTTTGATCTTTATATACTTAAATTAAAATAAAATGTCTTTTAACTGAAGACAGAATATAATTGAAAAAGAATTTTCGATGGTGAGTTTGTTCAAGAGATTATAGTCAGATCCTCGTAAATTCGACATCAAAATTCTATGTTTTTTAAGGAAACTCAAGTTGTATATATAAGGCTTTCTCGTTTAAAAAAAAAAACAACATGCAATTATTTTTACTTAACGTCGGGGATATTTTATAAAAGAGTGGATTTGGGATTATTTTAATAAGTATTGGAAGGTATTATTTATTTTTCTTGACGTGATAACGTGCATTCATTCAAGAGTAGGGATATCATTTCTGAAACTTTAATCTTCATGATATATTTATTCTTTTCAAAAATTTAATTTTTGTTTGAAGCATTATCACGAAAATGTAACTTAGCACTTGATGAAGCTTTTGGACAAACATTTTAGCTGTATTATTAATAATACAAAAAATAACAGCATTGCACATAATTAAATTAATATAGAAATAAGATCTATAACAAGTCACACAATTAACAAATCATAAATATTTCTATATAAAAAAAATCATGAACATGACTTATCACTTCTGAAATTTCTGAAAGCCACCGATTTGTGTTTTTCAAAAAAGAAAGAAAGAAGATAATTTGAGTTGATAAATTTTGAAAGAATAGGAAACGTAATAAATTAAAGTTATTATAAACTTCATTTCAGTCTTATATATATATGAAATTTCTAATTTACAAGGATGGATCCAGAGTTTCATGGTTGGAGGTTCAAACTGAAAATAAGATAAAAAGTAGAAAGGCCAAAATCTATTTTAAACTATTTTTCAAAGGAAAAAATAAAAATTTTACTAAACATTATGTGATGTATGGGGGGAAAGAACACCTCTTCCCCCAATCCGTCTCTCCTAATTTATCTAAGCAGAATAATAAAAGGGATTTAAATCATTAAGATGGTTGAAGAATAAAATGACTTTTGAAAGTTACTCTTATTTAAAATAATTAATTACAGTTCAGACTCTAAAATTTTAAAAAATCATTGGGTGGAATTGAAATTTTTTTAGTAAATTTTTCAAAACTTTTAATATTTTCATTATTTATCATCTATATTTTTAGTACTGATCTTTATAATTTTCAGTGTTTATTTTTCCGATAATAGTATTCAATGTTTTTTCGGTAAAACTAGTCGTAGATGCTTTTAATAATTATATTATATTTGATTTTTTTCAGTATTAAGAAAATTAAGATAATTATTTAAAATATAAAAAAAATCTAAAGATGAATTTTGAAAATATCGAAGTGTTGAAAATATAGAAGAAATAGATTTTTGCTTTCATAAAAAGGAATCCCATTTTATTAATCACCAAAAAAAAATCAATTACACACACTAATGAGGAAACCAAGGGGAAAAAAACATGTAGAAATACAATCTATCAAAACAAGTGAAACCTAACAGTACAACCTCCAGAAAGCAATACAAAAAATACAAAAGAAACAAACAAAATAAACCCTGAGTCCAAGCATATTCTTATCTTATTAGTACTCATTATAGAATAGAACAACTTCAAGGAAAAGAGTAATAATGAAGAAAGTATCTAACTTTAGATGCAAAACTTCTTTTAGCTTTTGATGAGGATGTCAATTTTGTAATTCAAATTGTCTTAATTATCTTAATTGTAAACTATGGTCATTTTATAATTAAGATCAAATAATTTGAAATTAACTTTATGTAAACTAAAAGAAAGGAAAAGATTATACATTAATTCATTTTTCTGCATCTTAATTTTATCTTTTTCTTTTTGTCTATACCATGGAATCTCGTAGCATCTCTCAAAAAGGGAAGGAATAATGTCATGCCTTTCTTGGACACCAACGTTCAGAAACCTATGTTTCTTTCTTGGATTGATCGAACATACATCCCTCTTCCAAGATTCCTTTCAATCAATTTGTTATTCCTAGTTTCCTATTCCCATTTTCTGACTGAGTTTATAGAAGCTAACATTTTTGTTTTATTAAAAACATTCATTTTATTTATGATTAAATAATGTGTTAGAATTACCTTCTAAAAAACCAAGCAAAAAATAGTAGTAATGAGAACTTTTTTTTTTTTTTGGTTATGCAAATATGCCATAAGTGATGTTCTATTCAAAACAATTATATTTGAGATACAGTCGGTATTAAATATGATAATCTTTACCAGGTTCATCATATTGATTTCATTAGATTCAATTCCTATTTATGAAAGTATTTTTTTAATTTGTGAGAAGAAAGTAAAATATTTTTCTTCAAAGAAAAAAAGCACTTAGATCGATTTTCTTAAATAAAATCCATCCACTTAAAATTTAAATTATTAATATAAATAATTTGCTACACACAATAACATCATATTAACGAAAATGTTTCATCAATTGAATTTTTTTCCCCTTTGAAACACAAAATCTTCCTTTCGGCTTTCACACAACATTCAATTTCATTGGGAAAAAAACATTCAATTTCACAAAAGCTTTCTCGATTGTCTCCTCCGATCCATCATATTAATGGAAAATAAAAAAATTGAAAAGAAAAATAAAATGCTTCCTCTAATTCTAGCTAATTATAAGATAGAGAGAGAGAATTTTTTATTCTATTTATAAGTTATTTTATTAAATTTTGCTATTTAGCCTCCATTAAACACTAGAGAGAGAAAATATATTATTAAAATTTATATATTTAATAAAGATAAAATTAATAAATTACTAATTTTTTAATAAAGTTAATAAATTTTAAGATTTTTTTTTATTCTAGTTAAATATGTGAGAAATGCCTTATAAATATGATGAGAGGAATATAATTGAAACATGTAGTTCAACTAATAATAAAGAAATTAAACGCTATTTTATACTTCAACCATTTTTAATTATAACAGAAAAACAATTAACTCATAAGTATAGTTTAATAAAATTGGTTGATTCTAATAATTATATTTAAAATTAAAATGTTTAGACTAAAACCCTTGAATATGATAAATGTTTATTTTTTTCTCTAATGTAATAATATACTATCAACTTATGAGGGGCAATTTGAGAAAATATAGTAAATAATTATTGAATTTTGTATTTTGCTTATAAAAAATGAAGTATACAATAGTTTCTCTTATAATAAAAATAGAGAGAATTCTCAACCATACCTTGAATATGATTATTTTTAATAGAATGATACCTATAAAAAAAAAATTGAAAGAGTATACCATATTATTAATGTCCATAAATGATATAACAATTTGACCCTTTTTAGATCTATTCTATTCATTCTACTTCTATATACAATATACTTCTAATTATCTCATCAAAATAGTTGAAATCAATGAAACATAATTAAATTATTGATATTGTCTAAAAAATGAAGTTTTTAGTTTGCCCTTATTAAATACTAGTACATTATACTTAAAAACACTTTCTCTTGTGTATAACTTTTTGTACTCTAGAAGCGTAAAATTGAAATAAAGTGATTAACCATATATATTTTCACGTAAAGTGATTCATAATAAGGACTGTCAATTTTTTTAGAAAGTGATTGTATATAATACATCCAAAATTCTCTTTAAAATTGTTTCCTCATATTACAATTGCTTTTCTTTTAAAACTACTGTCGGAATATTTCATACCTTTCTTTTTGCATCAGTTTACTCTTCCATGGAATATAATATAACTATAACCAACGTAGCCCCTCATCTCTTCTCTTCAACATAACTTAACTGTCAAAATCTCATTCCAAACATACCCAACGAACCCAAATAATCCACCCCCTTCTACCTAACTTAACTACCAACATGTTGAAGAGGCTTGGAAAAAAAATAAGAAAAGAAATCCTTGGACCCCTTATCATAAAGGACCCGCCGCCCCCTCCTCCTCCTCCACCGCCACCACCGCCACCACCCCCGCCACCCCCTCCTCCTCCTCCACCGCCGCCACCTCCTCCTCCCCCACCTCCGCCACCGCCTCCTCCGTCACCGCCGCCACCGCCGAGTCCTTTTCTTTTCCCTCAAGTGCAGTCCACAGTTGTCCCAGACCCTTCCAAGTTCTTCATTCCAAGCCTTCTTTCAGCCCCACTTCCTACAAACTCTTTCTTCCAGAACTTCGTCCTCAACAATGTCCAACCTGAGTACATTCATCCCTACCTTATTAAACCCAATCTCTCCTCCCTCTCTCTCTCCTACCCATCTCGCTCCTCCACCTCTACTTCTATATCTCAGCTTTTCACCGCAGATCTCACCATCTCCGCCTCAGAGAAAATTGATCAACATGATCATCATTCCCCGAAAACACATGTAATCTCTTCCTTCAGCGATCTCGGTGTCACTTTGGAATTTCCCTCTTCCAATATGCGATTCTTCCTGGTTAGAGGAAGTCCCTTTTTGACTGTAAATGTGACAAATCCAACATTAATTTCGATCTCCACAGTTCATTCCATCCTTTCGCTTTCTTCCAACGGCTCCCTCACTAAATATACCCTTCAGCTCAGCAATGGCCAAACATGGCTTATATACACCTCCTCATCAATTACTTTGAACCATAACCCCTCTGAGATTACATCTGAAGATCAGTTTTCGGGAATAATAAGGATAGCTCTATTGCCAGATTCGAATGCAAAACTTGAATGGATCCTCAATCAGTTCTGCTTTTGTTACCCTGTATCTGGGGATGCAACATTCACGAAGCCATTCTCTTTGGAATATAAATGGGAAAAGAGAGGTTGGGGAGATCTGTTAATGCTGGCCCACCCTCTTCATCTTCAACTTCTATCTGCTAACGACTGTAAAATCACTGTTCTAAATGATTTCAAGTACAAAAGCATCGATGGTGAGCTTGTTGGAGTTGTTGGAGACTCATGGGTATTAAAAACAAAGCCTGTTCCGATAACTTGGCATTCAATCAGAGGCATCAAGGAAAATTCCTATGATGAGATTGTCTCAGCACTTTCTGAAGATACTGATGCTTTGAATAACCCATCAAGAAGTGCAACAACAACAACATCATCATCGTGCTACTTTTCTGGGAAATCAATAGCAAGAGCAGCAAGGTTAGGTTTGATAGCTGAAGAGGTGAATTTTCTAGAAGCCATTCCTGTAGTAACCCAGTTCTTGAAAGAGACTATTCAGCCATGGTTGGATGGAACTTTTGATGAAAATGGCTTTTTATATGACACAAAATGGAAAGGAATTATCACAAAACAAGGTTCTAAAGATGCAGGTGCAGATTTTGGTTTTGGAATTTACAATGATCATCATTACCATCTGGGGTATTTTCTATACGGAATAGCAGTTCTTGCAAAGATTGATCCAGCCTGGGGAAGGAAGTACAAGCCACAAGCTTATTCACTAATGGCAGATTTCATGAACTTGGGACGAAGATCAAACTCAAACCATCCACGCCTAAGGTGCTTTGATCTCTACAAGTTACACTCTTGGGCTGGAGGCTTAGTTGAATTTGCAGATGGAAGAAACCAAGAGAGCACAAGTGAAGCTGTGAATGCATATTATTCAGCAGCTTTAATGGGTCTAGCATATGGTGACACCAACCTGGTAGCCATTGGAGCAACACTTACGGCTCTTGAAATTCATGCAGCACAAACATGGTGGCACTTGAAGAAAGAGACAGATAGGATGTTGTACGAGGAAGAGTTTGGGAAAGAGAACAGGCTTGTTGGTGTTGTGTGGGCCAACAAGAGAGACAGTGGGCTCTGGTTTGCTCCTCCTGAATGGAGAGAATGCAGGCTAGGGATTCAGGTTTTGCCGTTGTTGCCCATCACTGAGGTGCTGTTCTCTGATGTGGGATTTGTGAAGGAGCTTGTTGAATGGACGTTGCCTGGTTTGAGAAACAAGAAAGGTGTTGCAGAAGCGTGGAAAGGGTTCGTATATGCCATGGAAGGTGTTTATGATAATGAAAGTGCGTTAAAGAAGATCAAAAGCTTGAAAGGTTTTGATGATGGCAACTCATTCTCCAATCTGTTATGGTGGGTTCATAGCAGAGGTGATCAAGATGAAGATGACAAGTTGGGTCGTGAAAGATACTCCTGGTTTGATCATTACTGTTATTAAGTTAGTATCATATATAATGTGCGTGTTAATTTGCCTCTGTGTGTGTTTCACGCTTTTCATGATGTACGTAACTTCAATTCAATGTTAATATGCTTGTGCTCCTTTCTTCCGTTGTTCAACATAATGAGTGATTAATATTGTAAAATACTGACATTTTTTTATTTTTGAAATATTTTTATAAAATGTTAAAGTAAGAGTAATAAAACTTTTGATCCCTATATTTACCCCAGTTATCAATTTAGTCCCTAAAATTTAATCTTCATTACTCAAGTTTCTAAAGTTTTTAAAACCATGCACAAATAATTCTTTTGGTTTGAAGGAAAAATAATATTATAAGAGCTAACTGTGTGTGATTCTAAAAATTTAGAGACCTGATTAATGAAAATTAAATTTTAGAAATCAAATTGATAATTAAAACAAACTTAAAGATCAAAAGTTTTATTATTATAATATTTAATCTAAATTGTCTAAATTTAATTTAATAATCTTGATCCATATAGTAATCGCTTCGGTCACAATGGAGAGAAACTGCAGACAAAATAATCTGTGAGAGTTTGGATCTCGTCTCAGTTTTACATCATCTTCTTAATCTAATTGTTTTTTTTTTTTGGCCAACCATCTTCTGAATCTTTTGATTTCATCCAAATAATTTAAGATCTTGATGATTGTCTAGGGGAATTATTTTCCCACCAACTAATTAACTAAATTAATGCAACACACAAACAAGTATTTTTACCTTTTTTTTTTAATTTTCCTGTGTTTGATATTGTTCAACAATTACGCTATTTCAAACAATCGAATAGATTATGGAAACTTTCTAAAGCATTTTAGGCATAGACACCAAAATTCAGCTCAGCAACTTGACTCTTTTTTTTTTTTTTGGTTATTATTATTATTATATTCTTGACCCAAGTTATTGCGACTGACTCAAGCAAATGATGAAACGCATTTAACGTTCATTTTGGGCCTTGGGCCGTAGGTACCAAAAAAAAAACAAAGAGAGATAAAGGTTCATTTGTGTATATATATATATATATATATATATTTCTTCAACTTGTAAATTTCGAGCAAATTAACTCCATTGTTTATCCATATATTCTTGACCATTATGTAGTTATGTAGTCCAGCTAGCTTGCCACGTATCAAGTGAGGCTGACTGAAATTTTCTAAAAGCCAACGAGAATAGCCCAACAAAGATTGCATAAATTATATATTTCCAGCTTTTATGGCTGGGAATTTAGTGAGGATTTTAAATCCTATTTAAGGTCAGAATAATTAATTCTTAGCACCACAATTATAATTTAGATTTTTTTGGCCAAAATTATTTTATAATTTATATTTATATGCCACGCGACTGTGTTTTATCAGAATGAAAATTTGTTGCCTTTGTTAGCATGGCATAGACTGTGCCATATGATTGAAGCCAGTTTTACATAGGATTGTTTGGGCCAAGGGGGACAAAAGAAAAGTTAAAGACGGTATTTAGTTAGTAGCTTCATATAAGTTAAAGTTTATGAAGTTTTGTATAATTTGTTATTGAGTCTAATTTGGATATTATTTGATTTAATAGGTGATAGAACTCTTAATATGATTTTTTTTTCCTATTTACATGGTTCAAACAGTCAGGCCTTTTTTCACTCAATCCACACCATTAGCATGATCGTAAATATCAATTTTAGTTAAGTTTATCTCACTCTCAAACTCAATTTTAAAGAATTTTAAATTAATTTTTGTCATGTTTATCTCATTCTAATAAAGATATAGCAATATAAAAACTCGAATAAAATGTGCTCATTTGCCATATTGAAATGAATAACGTTTCAATAAAGCAAATGAATGTAATGATATAAGGAAGGCTAAAATATCAGATATTTTAAAAGTCGGCCTTCCTGCCTATCAAATCACAAAAAAAAAACCCCTCAAAATAGATATATGATAAAAAAAATGATCTAATTCCTCTATAATCTCTTGATTATTTTTTGAAATTAATTTTTTTTGTAAAATAATCTTATTGCCCTTATGCACGTTAAAAACATCCCTCCCCACCGAAGAATTATTGGGAATGAGTGATTTGTAAAACAATGACTGCTTCAATTTTTTTTTAAAAAATAATGACTTTAAGTATATAAAAAGACAACAGAACCTTTAGTATAATTGTTATCTTGAAATTCATATAATTAAATTTTTCAATTTTATAGTAACATGTTCAGACAAAAAAGAAACCTTTATAGTAATATGTAGATCAATAACTACCCCACAAATATAATAACTTAAATTATATAAAATGTCAACAAAAATTTCAGCACTACTAACAACTATTATCTTTAAAACCCAGGTCGAATAATTATAACTAATGAGGTTTTTTGTCATCATCTTATATAATTAAAAGAATAAAATACTCTTTCATACAAAAAAAAAAGAATAAAATACTCGAGATCCCTTCTATTTTATCTTAATAATAAATACTCACTCTTTTAAAAAATATGAGGCATTTTTAATTGAATCTCAATCCTTAATAAAGTAATTACTTGTCTTTAAATTAATACAATCTTTTCATATTTATCCTTATTTAATAGAAAATTTTATTCTAAAATAAATATAAAGTAATTTATTCATTAGGAGCACTTTTTAAAAAATGATAATAATTATACCTTGAAACACAACTAACTCTTAAAAAATACCTTATATTTTTTAACGAAAAGGGTACCCTTTCCTATTTTTGAAATATATATAAACCTTTCCTAATATGAATACTTACAAAACACAAATACTCCCACTATTTTTAAAATTTTATTTTGATCCACCCAAACATTAGTTGACTGTTAAGTCACATATGTTAAGCCAAAATACTCCCTCTTTAAATTTAAATGTTGTCTAAAAATTATTTAAATTATCCAAAAAATTAATTCATATATTTTTTAACTTTTTTATTTATATTTTAAATTTTTTAGTTAAGCGAATGAATTTATTTAATAATTTAAAAAATAAATACATAAATTGAAAAAAATAATCTTCAAAATTACAGTTAAAAATAATTTAATGAAATAATAATTTGATATAATAAATTACTCAATATAATTATGTTTATTTTTCATCAAATTTCATTTTATTTTAACACAAAATTTTTAACTATTTATTTTAATATTAATATACTTAATTATTTAAAGTTTTTTTAAAAAAATAGGGAGAGTCTAAACAATTAAATCACAAGGGAAAAGTAATAATTTTAACATTTTGAACATAATTACAAATAAAAAATTAAATATTTTAGAATCTTTAATAGAATGTTCCTAATGATATTAAAAATTAGAGTTGATAATAAGGACCAACCCACGGGACGAGTTACAAGTTTAGTGGCCTGGGTTGACATAACCTACAATGGTTGGCTGGCCAACTTGCTAGTGAAAAAAGAAAGTTTTTTTATGAATTTTTTAAATTTTAAAAATTATAAATTTATCTCATTTTATTTTTTTATGGTAAAAAATCATATATTTCCCCTAAAGATTAATTATTCAAACAACAATAAAATTATTTTTAATCAAACCATGCTTACATCACCACTTAAATATAAACTAATTTAATTTTGTAATCTTTTTTATTTTTTAATCTATTTACATGACTAATCAATCGTATACATATATGAATTAATAAAAATACTCTATCTATCCCTTTTTTTTTCTTCATCTTTTTTGGCATTTTTGCTTCAAAATTGACGTCCAACTTTAAAATACCATTTCTTTTTTTAAAACAAATATGATAATTTAAACTTTGACTATTAAATTACTACTCATAATACATTTAGTTCATACCACCTTAACGTTCTAATCTCTATATCTATTTTTTTTCCTTTTATATTCAAATTAAGATGATAATATAATATATATTTAGCACTTCATAAATATGTTTAATCTTTTAAATAAAAATGACAACTAAACTTTTTTTATTTGCTAGTTTTGGTAGCACAATTTTGCAAATAAAATAATCTAAATAAGCTATTATATGAATGAAGTATAGAATAATAAAATATTTTATTCAATCTTGTTTTAATCCCATTTAGATTATATTATATCACTACTTAAAAATATAAGGTGAGCTGTGCGTTTTTATTGTTTTTTTTGCCATAATTTAATCTTAAATTAAAAAAAGGTACAAGTATCAAGTACTTACTTCCTATTCAAAAATGTAAGATATTTTTAATTAAATCTTACCCTCTAATAAAATAGTTACCTACTATTTTTTCATATTTATCCCTATTAAATATCTATAATAAATATAAAATTATTATTAATAGGGGCACTTTTGAAAAAAGATAATGATTACACCTCAAAATACTAAAAGTGTCTTATATTTTTTAATATCTAACTTTTTAAAAAATACCTTACATTTTTAAATGGAGAGAATATATTACAATTACATGCACGCTTACTTTGAATGCTTTATTTTAAACTCAAACTCATTTATTTATTTGCTATCTATTTTTTTAAAAAATATAAGTGGGCTAATTAGCCAACTCATGGGTTAGTTCTCTGTGGGTTTAATTTATGTGGGGCAGGCTAAAACTGCCTTGCATTTAATTTTTGTCAATGATTTACTTCCTCCAATGCAAAATATACATATTTCCCCCAATATGTTGGACAAAAATATCCCTTTATAAATGTAAATATTATCTAAAATATTTAAATTATCCAAAAAAGTTAATGCATATAATTTTTTACTTTTTTATTTATATTTTAATTTTTTAGTTATGTAAATGAATTTACATAATAATTTTTTTAAAAATTTAAATACATAATTTGATAAAAATAATGTTCAAACATACAGTTACTCAATATAATTATGTTTTTTTTCATCAAAATTCCATTTATTTTAACGCAAAATTTTTAACTATTTATTTTAATATTAACATACTTAATTATTTAAAGTTTTTTAAAATTGGGAGAGTGTAAACAATTAGATCATAACGGAAAAATAATAATTTTAACATTTTTAACATAATTACACATAATTAAATATTTTATAATCTTTAACAAAATATTCTTAACCCTGTTAAAAATTGTATTAGAGTGTAGCTTTTGAAAATAGAGGAAATTTTTTTGTAATTTTAATAAAATGGAAGGGAAATCACTACATTTTACTTTAATCAAAAGTGCTTATATTTTAAAGTGAAGTAGTTATTGATATACAATTAGTGATTAAATTTCAAGATAATAATTATCATTATTAAAGGTTTTGATATTATTTTATATAATTAAAATTGTTATTTCTTAAGAGGTTCAAATTCTAACATTTGTATACGTATTAGTATTTTAATTTAAGAAATGTATACTATTTATTTTCAATATTTTGGGAGAGATATTTTGTATTGTCAGTGGAACCAACCTCTTATACTTACAAAAAATATTATTATTTATTAAAATAAAGTAGTTATTTAATCTCAAGTCATTTTTTCCCTAGTAGTTCTTTAACCAATGGCCGTCGAAGATCCTGTGCCTACCTAACTTTGAAGAAATTTTTTTTTTCAAAAAAAAATTAACTAAGAATAAAAGGGTCATTTCATAAAAATATTGATGTCAAAAAATCATCTTGAGACTTCAAGGAAAATTAGGTCATTTTGTGGTTAGTCCTTGTCGTATATTTTAGGGATTTTTGTTTCTGTAAAAAGAGTGACGTCACGTGGGAGCGGTTTTAGGGAAGGTCCAAATTCAAACATAGGAACAAAAAATGGGGGAAATAATTCAACTTCTATAATCAAGTGTTTAACCACCTAATTCAACGATTGATTTGTCACGTCACGCTAATCTTTTCGTCAAACTCTTGAGGGTCTAGCTTTTGAAATAATTAACTACCAACAAATTTTATAAGTTCATGGACTCACTAATATTGAACTCTTTTTGTTGGGGACATTATTTTTTTGTTTTTTTGTTTTTGGTTTCATAACACACACATGTTTTCAGACTATAATTTTTGTTGTTCTGGTTAACTGAAATCAAAAGAATTTTTCTTTTGTATTTAAAAGAATTCAGTATTTTTCCTTTATTGCATGGAGTACACTCCGATATTTAACAGCGAATTTAATAATTTATTGATTTTAAAATCGGTTATTGACTTGAATCTTGTAATTTTTATTATCAAATCTATTTAAAAAATTATTACACAGCATGTCAATCCGGTTTTATGCCTTTGATGAATTATTAAAAAATAAGTCATTTTAAATCATAAAGATATTATTCTTATTTCATGAAATTATATTTTTAAATAAAACTATTTTTTGGTCAAAAATTAAAGGATTATAACCGACGGTGGGTGAATTAAATAGCAAGTGAAAATGCTCTAATATGAACTAATCCATAATATTAAAAATTATTAGTTGCTGAAGAAAATAGAGGACTTGAAAATTTGTTATGATGGAGGTTGGATATTTAAGATGAAGAAGAATTTTTCTCGGCCAACAGATGAAGGAGAATTGTAAAGCGACTTTAATTTCAATTCTTTGGTTTATTAGCATTTAATAGAATTATTTAATGCCGACAAAAATTCATAATCACAGCCAGTTCAGTGCAACATTCCATTCTATCTCTCATCCATATATTCTGTGCTTTACATCTTTATTATATTATATAATAACAAAATGTGACATGCGTGGAATCCCTTTATCTTTTTTTATGCATTTATCTATTTGTTCTATTTTATATATAACATTTAATTTATTTACGTAAAACTTCTGCATATTCTTATGAGTGTCAACCAAAAATCAAATATTAAAAAAAAGAAGATGAAAGAAGAAGCACCATATTTTCTATGTAAGGCTCCTTACATAATGAGCTGCTATAATTAATTTGACTGAAGTTTTGTCGTTAATATTGACTACTTCTATCAGAATTTTTAGGCTGATTCATTTCACCGAACCCTTCAATTTAAATATTTACTTTTTTTGTTTAAAAATATAAAATATTTTTAAAAAGTGAGATGTTAAAAAATAAATATTTTTTAATCTTTTGAGATATAATCATTGTCTTTTTTTACCGCTATTGATAAATAACTTTATATTTATTGTAAGATATTTAATAGGGATAAATATAAAAAGATAAAATTAGTTTGAAGATAAATAACTACTTTATTGAAGAGTGAAATTTGGTTAAAAATACTTTACATTTTTTAATGAAGGGAGTATATAAATATGTAAAATAAGGCAACAATTTCTTTTATATAAGTATCCCTAGGGTTAAATTTGAACGTTGGTAAATCCAATCGAGAAATTTCTCTTAAAATAGTTCTTTTACGTTGTTCTTCCCCTTAAAATATTTCTTTTGTGTTGATACTAACTCAAATTGTGACCTTATAGGTGACCATATTTTCTTTTACTGGAACTAACATTTATAGGTAAATTAGCACTTTTTCAAAGATTACATACTACTTTTTCAAAAAAAAAAAGGAATAATTATTTACTTCTTCTATTAAAAAAATATAAATATAAGGCATTTTTTTGAGATTAGATTTTAAAAAATATTAGGCTTTTTTACTTTTTGAGCATGAATTTAAGACTCTCTCTGTTAAAAAATGTAAGGTATTTTTAACAAAATCTCATCTCCCAAAAAAGTGGTTACCTACTTTTAAACTAACTCTATCTTTTCATATTTATCTCTATAAAACACCCTATAATAAATATAAAGTCATTATTAACAGAGATATTTTTTAAAAAAAGGTGATGATTATACCTTAAAAAATTAAAAATATCTTAAATTTTTTAACATTCAGCTTCTCAAAAAATGTTTTACATTTTAAACAGAGGGAATATTTTTTTTTGCCCCAAACTATTCATTCTTTCATCTTTAAGTGAGAAAATTTTAGCAAACACCCCCTTCGTCTTTGTATGTAATGTTTTTCTAATCAAATTTCTTATATTAATAAAAGCTTGTTATTTAGTTGAAATTATGTTAAATTAAAATATATATTTTTAATTTTACCTTTAATATGTGAATTAATATTAATATTATAGTGATGGTAGGTAAAGCACATAATTAATATTTCTTGTCTTTTTTTAAGACAAGGGATAAAATTATTTAATTATTTAAAAATATCATAACATGATAAAATATGTTTTTAAAAAACACTTTAAATATAGGGATGGAGTGAGTATAAAAAGATAATATCAATTTAAAAATAATCAGTTAACTCATTAGATATATAATTCAATTAAAAATATTATATTTTTTTAGCTGAAGGTAACTAATCATAAATAAATAAATAAGAGTTTCTTAAATAATTATCTTTTTTCTTTTAAGAAAAATGTTTGGAGTCATCACAGACCCTTCTCAAACGGAAAATATTAGTTTAAAGATAAAATGTAATCATTGTAGTGTGAAAACTCTCCTTGATTCCAACTAACACACTTGATTAAATCTTCATATCTATGTAGTCAGCATAAATTCCAGAGCGACAGTTAGACATGTACCCTTATTTTTTGTTCGGCTGATGAAGTGATGACCGTCACTTTTCTTTCCTTTCTGGAACAGTAAACAGATTCATGTGGCTGATGATTCTTCCCCTTGGGACCGTCCTTTTACTCTCTCCGTCCATCACTGCATGTGCTGTGGAAGAAGACTGAGAGTGGAGCACAGGTTTTATTCTAAAGCCGCCTCCACGTTTTTCTCTGCCTCAATTTTGGGGTGTTTTCTGATCGCTTCTGTTCTGGTGCCATATTCCATTGAATAAGTTTTTCTCTGAGCTTTAATTCTTATAAAGTTCCCCTCTCTGCTTGGTGCACCAATTGTTTTTTTTTTCCTTTCGGGGTCGTTTCTTTATTTGATGTGTGTGGATTCTTATTGCCGATCTGAGGCATGCTTCTCAAGTGGAACATGCGAGGAAAGAACTACATAATGCTGGAAGCTGGATCTTTTGTTTGTATCCTGAACTCGGTTGATGCTCTTGCTCTTATGGTGAATTTTGCATTTATTTGAGGATCTTCAGGTACTGGAGGATTCCGAGGGGTTCTCTTTTTTTCTCAGAGGGTTTTGGTGTTGACTTTGTCCGGTATCTTTGGAAGTGAGTCTTTCAATATTGATTCATAAGGGAGTTTATAAATTTGTAGTGAAAGGGTTTATGTGAACCTGAATTTGGAATTGATATTTGAATTTTCATGTTTGGCGGATTCTGTACTGTTTCTGAAAAAAAAAGATTGGACTTTTGGAGATTTGAGTGTGTGATTTTGGAACGTAATTATGGAAGTGTTCTGGAAATTTGTTTGAGTGAAGATTTGTACAGCGGTAATGGCGTTGGCTTCTCCCTCTCCCAATTCTTCGCCTTCTGCAGTGCCACCAACTTCTCCGAATATTACAACACCTCCACCTTCTTCGCCTTCCACAAATTCTTCTAAGACCCGTCCTGCTTCATCTCCTAAGCCTTCAGCTACACCTCCTCCCCAGGCAGTGCCTTCAACCCCTCCTCCTTCTCCATCTCTTTCTCCTCCACCGGATTCCCCACCTGCATCTCCTCCACCCTCAGCTCCCACAGCCCCTGCTCCAAATGCAACCTCACCAACCCCTCCTACTTTATCTCCACCACCCCCATTGGCTGCTTCACCACCAGATCCTTCACCTCCTCCTGCAGAAAATCCTCCCCCCTCGGCTATTTCTCCAATTCTTCCTCCTCCAGCCAATCACTCAACACCACCATCCCCTGTTAATCCTTCTCCATCACGGGTAAAGCCTCCAGAGAGTACTCCTTCGCATCCCTCACCTGCACCACATCCATCAGCTTCTAAATCTCCTCCCCCCACAAATTCTACCCCTCCTTCCAAAAAGCCTTCAGTCCCTCCTCCAAATTCTTTGCATGCTCCTCCAACCAATGCATCTGCAGCTAACAAGCCCCATGCAACTAGACCCTCTCTTTCAACACAGTCGCCAAATAACACATCTTCACAGTCAGGAGGGTCAAATACTGGACTAGTCTCAGTTATTGGCATTATATTTGGCTTTGCTGTCCTCAGCCTTCTTGTTATGGCCATGTGGTTTGTATGGAAGCGGAAGAGGAAGGAAGCAAGATTGAAAGTTGGCTATAATATGCCTTCTCCTTATGCCTCATCTCATAACTCAGGTATTGCACTGTGCACTGCCAGCTACGAGGAATATATGCTGTCTTGGTTTCTCTATGCTCTCTGTTGTTAACCTCAAATATGTTTTATTCAAACAAATATAAAGGATTCCTCGGTTCTACATAAACTTGAGCAGTGGATAGTTTGGGAGTAAAAATTAGGATTCTCATAGCTTTATACTCTCAGCAGTGCATCATAGAATCCCCCATTATCTTGTTATCATTTTTTTCCTTTAAATCTAAAATACCAAAATGAAATTGTGGAAGTCACTTACTCTGTATCAAAAGTCTACTTATTGATAACCATTGCCAGTTAATTATCAACTTCTTTTAGGATGATGAATGTTAGAGCATTTCTTGCATGAGAGTTGTACTTTAATTGTTGTTGTACTGTACTCTATTTGCTATATAGACAGAAATATAACCAATTTGATGATTGAAAGGGGCAAATTTAGTTTAGGATGTTTATAGTTGTCTCTAAAAGGCATAAACTCATCACTCATCTCTGTGGCCCAAAATTATGTTCAATTTGATCTAGCGGGTCTTAGCTGTTGTTTTACACAGATAATTCTTATTCCATTCCCTTTTTATCTCATAGTCAGATCAAAGATTAAGCAAATCATGGCGACTAATATTTTCTTTCTTTTCCTTCATGATTTAAATGTTAACCTGGCTATTTGGATTTTGAAGTTTTGTGACATTCTTGTAAATTTTATATAATTTCATTTTGCATACTTTTGTTACTAATTTTAGGCAATAAAGGTGGTGAAGCTTGACTAATCTTGCTATATCTTTTATTTACTTTGTTTATGTTGCCTGTGGTTGTCTTGGTTCTCATAGTTATGACACCTTTTATGTAATGATTAGAATGCATGGGATCATAGAAATGAGTTATATTTTTCATGATTTATGAATAATGCTGGTTAGAGTTTTTATATTCAATATTGATGGTATTTATGTTTTATATGATATTAAAGCTAGAAAGATGTTAAATTTTTATGTACTGGAAGCTTTTGGTAGATTGTTTCCTTTATATTTGCAACTATATAAATTGAGCAATGAATGAATGTGTGAGTGCTATATCAATTTTTTTCGATGTTGATTTGTTTTCTTCCAGGTACAACATTCTTAAGGCAACAGTCTTCCCTTTCTTATAATGACTCTGGTAGTGATTTCGTCCATTCACCATCAGATCCAGGTGGACTAAGTGGTTCAAGATCATGGTTCACATATGAAGAACTTGTCCAGGCAACGAAGGGTTTTTCAGAAGAAAATCTGTTGGGTGAAGGTGGATTTGGTTGTGTCTACAAAGGCTTTCTCACAGATGGAAGAGAGGTAGCTGTGAAACAGCTCAAAGATGGAGGTGGGCAAGGGGAGCGTGAGTTTAGAGCAGAGGTTGAAACTATTAGCCGAGTACATCATCGCCACCTTGTTTCCTTGGTGGGCTACTGTATATCTGAGCACCAGAGATTGCTTGTCTATGACTATGTTCCTAACAATAATCTTCATTACCATCTCCATGGTAAGATGTATATCTGATTAAATGATTTGAATAAATAAAAACAAAAATGTTAATTAGTTCAACACAGATTCAGAACTTCAAAAGAATGGCTCATAGGTTTGATATCTTCTTGATGCAAACCATTGAAAAATTATCATTATGAAGTTTATTCACTTGCTTTATAACGAATGATAATGAACTCTATTATAATTGTTGTTATCTGCTTAAGTTTGAGCTAAAGTTAAGGAAACACTTAAAACATAATGCATCCTTTATCTTATTGATACTCAATTTGGTGTTAATAGCACACAAACTGATTGTATGAATTTATTCACAAGTTCAATTTTCAAATTCAAAGCATATTGTTCAAAAAGATCCAGTAAATATGCTGTCATAGATTCATGCTTCTGGTTCAAACCACAATCAGTTCCTCATCTATCTTCATCTGAAACTGGAACTTGACTTGTTTGTTTGAAATTTTGCAGGTCAGAACAGTCCAGTTATGGATTGGGCTATAAGAGTGAAGGTTGCAACTGGTGCGGCACGTGGAATAGCTTACCTACATGAAGACTGTATATTTCTTCTACCTAGTTTTATTCAGTTCACATTCCATGTTTTAAAGTTAACTTCAAGCGTGAGAATTTAAAATGCCATATACAGTGTAACTGACAGACCTATATAATATTTAGTTAAGTACAACAACAACAGTAATAACTGAAAAAATTTTCCGACTGCAATGAAGATGGCAACATCACACAAGTTTCCTTCTTTTCATTTTACACCATCTTATTTTCCGTATCTTCCTAACTTTGGCTTTTATCGTCAACCTTCTCTTTTTTATTTTGTTTGATTGACTTTTCAGGCCATCCACGCATTATTCACCGAGACATCAAGTCATCAAATATCCTTCTTGATAACAACTTTGAAGCTCAAGTAAGCCACTCTCGTACTATTTATATTCTGATACTAGTCACTGTGATTAACATTCATTTAATTGTTGACTTCAACAGCTGCTTGTATCAAAGCAGTGTTAACTATTTATATTCTGACACTAGTCACTGTGATTTACATTCATTTAATTGTTAACTTCAACAGCTGTTTGTATCAAAGCAGTATAATATTAGGGATGATTTATCCAGTGTATTTACAATACATTGCCCACCAAATTTATCCTGTTTTCTTCTTAATGAGACTCACATATTCTTTTTTGGGGGTCTAATCATCAGGTTTCTGACTTTGGGCTTGCAAAATTAGCAATGGATTCATATACTCATGTAACCACACGGGTGATGGGGACCTTTGGGTAGGTAAACCACCTTTATGGTTAAGTGCGAGTCATTTAATTGAGTGCATCGTAATAAATAATATGATTATGCTTTTAAATCTTACAATTTGTTCATGTTTATTCTTATTGTAATACATGTGTCACTTCTATTATTAGCTATTACTTGTTGTCTCACCATCCTATAACTGGAAGAGCAAATAGTTGTGCATGGTCTGGAAATGGAGTTATCATCTCTTATAGTGCTTTGTTTGAGTCCTAATTCGAAAATTTTATTTGTGATTTGGAGTTGTTCCTCTTTGCGGCTGTGTTGTATTGGTCTATGGTCCACCATGTGGTGTTGTCCTGTTAGTTATTCGGATCTGGGTCGTCTCATCATGTTCATTTCCATTATGAAAGGTAGAGCTTCAAGTCATTTTGGTCGAAAATGGTGTACAAGTATATCCTGTTCCCTTTTCTGATGGTCAGTTTATCTGAATACCAGGTACATGGCACCAGAATATGCAACAAGTGGTAAACTGACTGAAAAGTCAGATGTTTATTCATTTGGGGTCGTGCTTTTAGAGCTAGTTACAGGTCGTAAGCCTGTAGACACATCTCAGCCCACTGGTGATGAGAGCCTGGTTGAATGGGTGAGTTACATAAAACTATATAAGCGTAAACATTGCTATGCTTTTTTATTATTGCTGTTTTTGATCTTACACATGTAATTGTAAACTATCAAAAACCAATTGAGCTCAAAAGATTAAGCTTCTATGCAAAGGTCAATGGATACTTTTTTCTTTTTATTTTTTTAATCTTAATAGGCCCTATGTGTGCTATATTACATGGGCATATAAAAATTTTTGAAAAACAATTGCACGTAATTTGATGACAAAGTACCCTCTATTTTAACTATATATATATGTATATATATATATATATGATTGTAATGTGCATATCTCTTCAAACGAAAGCACATAGGACTTGGGACATGGATATATAGCGCTAGATCTTGTACTAGTTTAGCTTTTTCAACCCAATTTTTTTTTTTTTAAATACTTCTATCTAAGAATTGGGGATGATAAAGATTAAAATGTTGACCACAAGTGATCATAGAGACTGATCACTGATATCCACTGATGGATAGATGGAGGCAAAGGATTTGCACTATTGTGTATAAATATAATATATATATATATATATATATATAATGCATAATATGTATACATATGGCCACCATGCACTAGTACGTATTGGAATTTGAAATGTATGGTTTTGGGGACGGAAGGCACCAGTATAAAGGAAATACATTATTATATATTTATAGAGTTAGGTAAGGGTGGAGTATGTGTGTTTTATCAATTTATTAAAGCACTTGTGTTATTGATCAATTTCAGCTCTTCATTTAGAAAAAAGAACATGATGCTTAATATTTTTATATTATGTTAAGTTAATATATTTTCTCTTAGATTGTTGGGAGAACATTCTTATGAAGTTATGTATGACTTTGAAAATTGAGTGATTGTGAATATATGTATTTGCTATATAATTTGTAGATAATATTAACTAAGTTCAAGGTCAAACATTCTTTTTACAGCTTATGTCTTACACACAATACTGTGTGAAGCTAGGTCTCATACTATTTAGGGGTAATTTGATGTAATATAAAAAGAACCGGAGTTCTATATCTATTACTCCCTTCGCTTTTAAATGTAGGTGCTAGTTGAGAAGATTGCTTTGGTCCTAAATGTAAGATCTCAATCTATTTTGTTTTCCAAATTTATAATTTTTCCCTGTTGACTACACATGTTAAAGGGGTTTCTGTCAATAGGATAATTTCAAATGTAAATGATTAAATGAGGCATTTTAGAAAAACCAACACTTTTTTTTTTTTTTTTACAAATAACTAACTCATCTGATTTATCTAATCTCTGCAGTTATCTAGCATACATTTAGGACTGGAGGGAGTAAATTAGATGTTATATGTCTATACAAGATTTATATATTTCCTTCTATTCTATTCATGTTATATAATATATCTCAAATATTATTGCTCTTGATATTATTGTGGCATACAGGACCCATTATTCCTGATTTGTGATGATATTGGAAAATTTGTAGCAGTTGTGTCGTGAAATTACTTGTAGATATCAATCTAATTTTACTAGCATTTTCATTTGAGATATCATTGTAAGAGGGAGAAGTAAAGGGAACAGAATCTCAACATTAAAATGTTCGTTTCAGTAATAAGCTAACCTATTTTCTTTAGGCTCGACCTCTATTGAATCAAGTGCTTGACACTGAAGACTATGATATACTGGTAGATCCGCGACTCGAGAGGAACTATAATAGAAATGAAATGTTTCGGATGATAGAGGCTGCAGCCGCCTGCGTGCGTTACTCTGCTTCAAAAAGACCGCGAATGAGTCAGGTAAATGGTTAAAAAATCTAGAAGACAAGAACTGTGTAATCTTCTACCCTCAGAACATTCCATTTAATGTACCTCTTCTTTAGATATATTAAATGCGCATGCTTCCTTTTGCACGTCATTTCCTAGGTCGCAAGGGCTTTGGATTCAATAGATGAGTCTTCAGATCTCTCTAATGGAATGAAACCTGGCCAGAGTACAATCTTTAATCCTTCACCACCGTCTGCACAAGTCAGAATGTTTCAAAGGATGGTTTTCGGTGGGGCCAGTCAAGATTTCAGTTCCAGTTTCTTCAATGATTCTCAGAATAGCTGGAGAAGCAGGGACCAGGAGGGCTTACAACACCATGATCTCCCAAAATAGAAAGATATAAATTCTTTTCAAAGTATATAACCATCTAATCATTTATATATAGGCTTTTTTATTGTCAAGGAAATTAAGATAACCTACTTGCAAAATACCACTTAAGGCTTGCAACGGTTGGAGAAATTTTGATGCACCCAGGAGGCATGCCTCTTAACTTTTTCTGGAGAAGCTGCAGCGTTTGTTCTTGACTGTGGTGGAGCCCTCACTTCAATTTGTGCAAGGCCTTGTCCTGCGGCGTTTTTACTGTAAATATCACAGAATCTCTCGTCTTATCCTTTCCCCCCCTTTTCATACATGATTTTCCTCACTGTAAAGCTCTTATTCTGTATAACTTGAAACGATTTTTCCCCACATAACCTAGATTTATCTATCAATGTGAAAATGTAGTGCCTTTTATTCTTGCTTTATGATGTGAAAATGAGGCACAACGTTGATATTTTATGTAGTAGTATGCTGAGTTTTAACAATTTTCTTGAGCCAGACCCTTCTCTGCTCTCAATAATTCTGTAGACCCATCCAACTAAAATGTATTCATAATGACCATTGATTTCAATTCTAATTGCAGATGAGTCAAATGAAGCTTATTTAGACGCCAACCAAAAAATCACGTTCTCATTTTTTGTTTTCAAAACTTTTTTTATATTACAATTTTTAAAATAAAAATAAAAATTCATTTTGTCATGTCAATTAAAATATAGCTTCATAATTAAAAATTAAAAAATGAGTCAGTGATAGTTTTAAATGGCTAATGATGGTGGTTAATAATAAAAATTAATTAAAATAATTAAAATTTTTAATTATCAAATGTAATGTATTTTAAAAAGAAGAAAAATAAATTAAAGTTGTTTCTATATTTTTGTTTTTAAAAACAAAAAATGAAAACAATTTTAAAAACAATGAAATGAAAAATCCTTATACACACAAATTTTATTTTCTGTTTTAAAAAATAAAAAATAACTTTTAAAAATAAAAAACAAACACCCTAAATAATCTAACTCATTTGAAGTGATTATGTGCATCATTGCGTCTACTTTGTTGACAGGTTGGGTTAGTGTGTAACTTCTTGACATGTTCATTCCGTGGTTCAAAAGTCCAACAAATCAAATGATCAGCCCACCGATTTTCTAATCCAACAGAACTATGATTAATAGTTAGTTAGTCGTTATTAGTACTTTAATCACCAATAGACCAGGTTGTTAATCACAGCTTCAAACTGTCAAAACGACTCAACTTGAAATAAATCAGCACCAATTCAACATAAAATCTATAGCAACCAAAATTCAACTGTACTACAATTAGTAGACATTCTATATTGATCGACACAAAAATGATAAAGCCGATAATAACAGCTTCAAACTATACGTACTCGACCAGAAATCTCCTAGAGACTACAGGGTTAAGTAAATAAAACATTAAACAGCTATAAACAGTTTCTATGTACAGCTGTAATGTAATATTGTGGCTTTAATATTGTCTGAATGTAAGATTCAGGCGACCAGGACGAAGCCCAGTAGCTTCCAACAATTTTCTTGGAGCGGAATTTGGAATGATATACGACACACCATGATAAACAAGTCGAGATTCACCACCAAATATCAATACGTCTCCTGAATCTAAAACAACCTTCTCAGCTTTCTTCACATCCCTCTCATCCCCGTACAGAAATTCTGCTGAATCTCCAACAGAAAAGGACACCACAGGCAATCCTCCATGCAGAGATTCTCTGCTTTCGTCACGGTCCTGCATGTTGTTGTTTCAAAATGTAAGCTAATGTCTCCTCATTTTTGCAAACATAACTCCCAAGAACAAAAATTCCATACTCTTTCTGGAATAAACTAAAATATCAAGTCATGTTTCAAAATACATTAGACGTAGTGTCCAAGTATGTTCCACTGTCCAAGTAGCATTGCATAGAAAATACAAACAAAATCCAAAAATAGTAATAGAAGAAGTTGGATGATGCAAAGTTTGGAAGAGCTGACCTGATGAAGGCCAAGCCTTCCATAGGCAGTATAAAAATTGACTATGCATATGTCTGGAGACATTGAAGGTAATACATCTTCCACATTGTTTACTTTGAACATCTTCTTACTTAGATTCTGTGCTTCTTCAACAGCCAGACCGGCCAAGTCCCTGAATTCAGAAGGAATATTTGGGGGTTCACAATGGTCCATTGATCGTATATTTCCATATTTTCTAGTTTGAGGATCCCAGTCCAGACCAAGACACATCATCTGCAATCGGAGTTTTGCTCCGTCTTTGTAACCTGGCCGGTAGAATCCCCCTGGTCCCAGACCAAGTTCACGACAAATCCTAACTAATTCCACCTAAAACAATAAAGTGAATATCACAAAATATTGGGATAAGAGCACTACAGGATCTGCCTAATTCCTTTTGACATTGTAATATCCACGAAAAACTTCAAATTTATGCGACCTATTGAATGAGTATGGTGCAAGCGAAGCAAGGAAATATGAAATAATAATAATAATAATTACCTGATTGTTGTGGGATAAGTAATGTTTCAAGAGAACCATCCCGGGCCTCAGTATCATCTTTTCTGTTACTCCCTCCTGCATCTTAGTGCAGCTTTCTGTGTTTGCAGAAATATGTCTTCTACAACGACAGATATCAAATGGTTTAATATCTGGGCGATCAACCTTGTAAACAGCTAGGCCATTGTTCGACTTCCTGTGAGCAGAGTGAGGCCTCTTAACATTACCAACAACACTGTTCTGATTAGGAAAACGTGATTTGTCTTGATATCTTATAATGTTTGATGCTGGAAATCCCTTGGCAGGGTTCAAACTATGACTTACAGAACTTGGACTAAAACAAGGCTTCATGTTTTCATCCACATTCGTTTGCATTGAGCGCATGTTTGTTTGTGCAGAATGAACAGAGTTTGACATAAACCCAGATTCAGAACATGTATTGCTTGGGAATGGTACTGGCATGGTGCCAACCATCATTATATATTCTCTCTGACATTGTTTCTTTTGAGGTCCTTGGACACTTGTACCGCCTCCAGTATCACCAGAAAATTGCGGCCCATGGCATGCAAAACTATCCTGCATTTTAAATGCAGTAAAATTGTTTCAGTTGTTCAAAATTATATGATGTAGACGACAAGCTGAGTTTAAAATAGTGAAAGTACTAGTTGAGATGCGATCTTTGTTGTCCGAAAAAAGAGTCTCATTTGAAGGTGGTTTCACTTAAACTAGGATATTCTGAGAGATTAGTTCGTAGAACAACTTATCAAGAGTAAAGAGTTCAAGAGAAGAAATAAATACAAATCCAGTAAATGACTACTATGACCAAGGCCAGATCATAAGAATAAACCAAAAAAAAAAAATCCAACTCAAACAAGATATTTCACAATAACTAGTATGCTCTAGGAGATAAAATCTTAGAACAACTAACTAGAAAAATAGATTATGCAATTCTAATGATATAATTCCAAAACAGCTAGAGTAATCTAGCTTACAGAGTCCTCACTAACAGGTTCGGTTCTGTCCCAGCTTTTGCTCATAATTTCCAAATGCCTAAAATGGAAAGAAATTTGGCGGAAAACGTAGCGACCCAACGACGACGGCCGGTAAAGAAACAAAAATGGCAGAATGTTAGTATTCATCATTTGGTGATCGAAGATACATATGATAAGCAAAGCGCCCTCTCGGCACACGAAAACGATTAAACGTGAGAGGCAGTGATACCGAAGCGTTTGAAGTGACGGCTTCGTCGCTATCTGTTCTGGCGACGGTTGATGTGGTGCGGCGTTGCGGTGACTCAGCTAATCTGCGTTATCGATGACAGAAATAAGACGACACGAGCCTACGACAGTCGACCGGGGGTAGAGCCGGGCTGACACGGCCATACAGAGCCGGCCCTTGACAGGCTCGGCCTAAAAAGTCAGCCAGTTTAAGCTCAACTTTTTCTTCAAGGGCTTATATCTTAAATCTGACTCTAACTATAACAAGTTTAAGGTCTGGCTTACAGGCTTTAAATCATTTTTTTATTTTTTAAATTAAAAATAATTTATTTATTTTATTATAATATAAAATTTTACTTCAATCTTAAATCACATAAATAACATCTTAATTTTTAATATGAAAACTATTTTTATTATGTAAAATTTTTTTTATTTAAATGATAAAACATTAAAATTTGTAAATTTTTAATTCAAATCATATGATATAAAATTATATAAATATAAAAATAATCTATTATCAAAAAATATAATTTAAAAATATTAATACACATATATAACATGAATCAAATTATTGTTTAAAATTTAAATTAGATCAAACAATTATTTTTTTATTTAAATATATCATTGTCCAAAATTAAACAAATCAAATTTTATTAAAAAGAATTAAACAAATCAAAGTATTTTGTAAATTTTAATTCTAAAAAAATTACTATTACAACTAAATATTTAAAATATGATTAAAAATATTAATAATATTATCATAATAAATAATATTTTAAAATATAAATAAATAAATGGGCCTAAATTGATTAGCCCTCAACTCTATAAGATCAGTCTATTTAAACCCTTAAGTTATTAAAGTTGGCCCTTATAAATAAATAATTTATTTTAAAACTCCAAAATTCAAGTCAAGTTTTAGTTGGGTTTAAATGGTTTGATTTATAAGGTTGGCTCATTTTTCTGACTTTAATAGGGGTAGGTGATGGAGCAATTTAGCATTAATTAATTTTTTAAAAAAATACAGTAACTGCCAATTTAGCAAAAAATTAATAATTAATTATTAAAACTAACTAACTTTCTCTCGGTTTGCAACTTGTTTTGATCTGTTTTTTTTTTTTTTTTTTATTTGAATGTTTAGGTCTTTATCTGAAATAAATCAGCTGCTTTGGAGCTTGTCTTTCTCCAATCTATCATCTGAAAACCGAAGAGTAGTTGAGAAGAACGCGAGAACTTCATCCACGTCTGCCTACTTCCTCCTTCATGCCTGAATGCCGAGATGGCCTCAAAATACCTGGTAAATTTCATTAATATTGTTCTACTTCTTCTCCTTTTCAATTCTAATCAATTGGAATCTCCGATGGAGCAATTTTATTAATCTGAATGTTATTGGCAGACTGCTCATCGTCGGTTTTGGTGATTTGAAGTTGAAATTGAGGAAACATCGAGTGCTTCGTTTTGAGGTAAATCACCGCCATTTAGTGTCAATGTGGTGGCGTTTAAGGGAATCGGGATTCAACTCTCTCTCTGTTTTTCCCCCCTTCTTTTGGGCTGTTGATTGCAACAGATTTGAGCTCTGTATGATTGGGAAAATGAAGTGAAAAGGTGCTGAAATTCTGATTTTGGTTGCGTGCACAAGGGTGTGGCTCTTTCATCACACTTTCGATTTCGGAATTGTTGGGGCTGATATAGGCATTGTATTTGCACGACTGTCATTAATTCCGGAAGAATCTCAATGAACTTGGAAGCTTAATTGAAGGGAAGAGGAAGTGTCTATCTGAATCATTGGAGGTAATTCCTCACCATCTTGGCATCAAATTCTGATTGTGCTTTGAGCATTTGGAATTTTCTTCGAATCTGTTCTGTATGGATGTACTCCTGCAGCAAATTGAAGCGTAAAATCAATGATGAACTGGGAGGAAATGGGAGTATTGAAGTGCTTTAACTGCGGCAATCATATTAGTTTTTGAAACTTCCATTCTGAAAATTGGTGCCTAATATTTTTTTACAAACAAAAAAGTCAGTTTTTTTTCATCAACAAAACAAAATACTCACACTAACAATACCGGAAGCCAAAAAGAAAAAAATCATCGTTTTTATTTGTAGAAGAAAAAACGGTATCACATAGTTTAAAAAAACTAATCAATTATATCAATTATGTTTGAAAATAAAAAAAATTAAATTAAAATACTCTTTATTAATTATGTTAATTAAATTTTTATTAATTATTTTTTATGACTGTGAATGATAAAATTATGAGGGATAATTTAAAAAATATATAATAAATGCTTATTTAAAAAAATATGATTTTGTTTTTATAAAAAATCAAACTGAAATATCAATTTCTTCTATGAATAAAAAACAGAGGGTCTACAATACAACTAACACGCAAACATGACCTGACCCAAAAAGAAAAAGAACAACAGAACAGTAAAAGGAAGTAAAACAAAGCAACACAAAATCCGAAAGAGAACAACAGAACAAGAAAACACAGCAAAAGCCACTGCCATCAGCAGCAGAAACAAAACTTCACCCCACACCACATCTCTCAACTTCCATTCCGCCTTCTTTATCCACAAAAGAAGAAAACAGCCTCATATCATTGTTAAAATACTAACAAACCCAAGGGGGTGTTGGTAACAATACCCATCCAAAAGGACATAACCCTTTCAACAAGACACAACTATCCAATCAGCTGCTCCATTACCCTTTCTAGATGAAAGAGTAATTTCCAAACCTGAACAATTAGCTAACATATCCAAGGCTTCCTTCATTTCCCATCTGCCCCCTCCAATCTGCTGACTACTTCTTGTAGCACCAGAAAATATCAGCACAATCAGTCTCAATATCTGCATCCTTCATATTTTGCTTTCCTTCCTGCTAAAACTTCAGTCACAAATGGTGAATCAACAGGCACCATATCACCAAATCCCTATAGCATCTTACCTTCTGTATTCCTGCAAATCAAACCAATAGCAGCAGTGTTAGTGGCTAAAACACAAGATCCATCACAATTCACCTTAACTCTTTGCCTGCCAAAATTCTGGAACAGTTTATAACCTTTACGGGATTTGGTAGCTTCTGCTAAAAAATAAGCCATTCCTTTCCTTCCAAATCAGCCACATAATCCAAGCAAATTGTGCAATCTGATAATCGTCACTCATCCTGCCTGTAATTCTCCTAGTTTTCAGGATTCTAGGTGGAATTAATCTGCTAATGCGGCGAAGTCATTTATGAGAGATTCATTAGATACAATAGAATTTGCAACTTGTATATCCGACATATTAAAAGTAAAATCCCTTATGCTTAAAATTTTATATGTATTAATAATAATACGTATAAAATTTAGTGGCTAAAACAAAAGATCCATCACAATTCACCTTAACTCTTTACCTGCCAAAATTCTGGAACAGTTTATAACCTTTACGGGATTTGGTTGCTTCTGCTAAAAAATAAGCCATTCCTTTCCTTCCAAATCAGCCACATAATCCAAGCAAATTGTGCAATCTGATAATCGTCACTCATCCTGCCTGTAATTCTCCTAGTTTTCAGGATTCTAGGTGGAATTAATCTGCTAATGCGGCGAAGTCATTTATGAGAGATTCATTAGATACAATAGAATTTGCAACTTTTATATCCGACATTTTAAAAGTAAAATCCCTTATGCTTAAAATTTTATATGTATTAATAATAATACGTATAAAATTTAGTGGCTAAAACAAAAGATCCATCACAATTCACCTTAACTCTTTACCTGCCAAAATTCTGGAACAGTTTATAACCTTTACGGGATTTGGTTGCTTCTGCTAAAAAATAAGCCATTCCTTTCCTTCCAAATCAGCCACATAATCCAAGCAAATTGTGCAATCTGATAATCGTCACTCATCCTGCCTGTAATTCTCCTAGTTTTCAGGATTCTAGGTGGAATTAATCTGCTAATGCGGCGAAGTCATTTATGAGAGATTCATTAGATACAATAGAATTTGCAACTTTTATATCCGACATTTTAAAAGTAAAATCCCTTATGCTTAAAATTTTATATGTATTAATAATAATACGTATAAAATTTAGTGGCTAAAACAAAAGATCCATCACAATTCACCTTAACTCTTTACCTGCCAAAATTCTGGAACAGTTTATAACCTTTACGGGATTTGGTTGCTTCTGCTAAAAAATAAGCCATTCCTTTCCTTCCAAATCAGCCACATAATCCAAGCAAATTGTGCAATCTGATAATCGTCACTCATCCTGCCTGTAATTCTCCTAGTTTTCAGGATTCTAGGTGGAATTAATCTGCTAATGCGGCGAAGTCATTTATGAGAGATTCATTAGATACAATAGAATTTACAACTTTTATATCTGACATTTTAAAAGTAAAATCCCTTATGCTTAAAATTTTATATGTATTAATAAAAATAATAATAATTGTCTATCTCTCATAATTTTTCATCTCTGTAAACTTATATCATATTATAGTCAATTGGCACATTAAAGAGAAGTTTCATGTAAAATGAACACACTAACCTGTGCAAGATCAACTTTCAGGCGGGTTTTAATATTATATGTAGAAGTATATTAGAGTTTTAACAATTTCCTTGAGTCAAACCCTCCTCTGCTCTCAATAGTTCAGCAGATCCATCCAGCTACAATGTATTCACGATGAACATTAATTTCAATTCTAATTGCAGATGGAGTCAAATTAAGTTTATTTAGACGTCTAAAAAAAGTCAACGATGTGGAAATTAAATAATCTAACTCATTTGAAGCCTTTATGTGCATCATATACATCTATTTTGTTGACAGGTTGGGTTAGTTTGTAACTTCTTTACATGTTCATTCTGTGGTTCGAAAGTCCAACAAGATCAACTATGATTAATAGTGGTTATTAGTACTTTAATAACCAAAAGACCAGGTTGTTAATCACAGCTTCAAACTGTCAAAACGACTCAACTTGAATCAGCATCAATTCAACATAAAATCTATAGCAACCAGAATTCAACTGTACTACAACTAGTAGACATATTCTATATTAATCAACACCAAAAAGATAGGGCCGGTAATCAAAGCTTCAAACTGTACGTACTCGACCAGAAATCTCCTAGAGACTACAGGGTTAAGTACAGAAAACATTAAACAGCTATAAACCGTTTATATGTTCAACTATAAGATTGAGGCTATAATATTGTCTGAATGTAAGATTCAGGCGACCAGGACGAAGCCCAATAGCTTCCAACAATTTCCTTGGAGCTGAATTTGGAATGATATAAGACACAACATGATATACAAGTCGAGATTCACCACCAAATATCAATACGCCTCCCGAATCTGAAACAACCTTGTCAGCTTTCTTCACATCCCTCTCATCCCCTTACAGAAATTCTGCTGAATCTCCAACAGAAAAGGACACCACAGGCAATCCTCCGTGCAGAGATTCTCTGCTCTCGTCACGGTCAAGATCATGATATAATAAATAAATACTGGGAAAATGACTTAAGTTCTAGGGCATAAGTAGCAATAGAATCTACGGCTGAGGCCCGAAGAAAAAGAAGGTAGCTAAACAGGTAAATTAGGTGTTGGACGTGGGTTCTCATTGCCTTCATTTCCCGCCCACTCGTTATACAGATTTTCACAAATTTGTTTCATAGTGTTGTGGGTAAAATATAGGAATAGCGACAGCAAACAGATAATGAAGACAATTGGTTCAAGAACACGTGGAACCAATACTGATATAAGTGAAGCATATGCCAAAGCTCCTGAGATGATAGCTACCTTGATAGAGAGTTTCAGGCAAGTAGGATTGGCTATGTTTAGCATCTTACACCTGATGTCGTATAAAGATGCAGAGCCATAGATGAGCAAGCAAACTATAAAAATCCACATATTTGCAGGATATTCATCAACAGGTGATGAATTTGGGAAGTGCATCTGAACAACCGCCCCCATTATTGGAATCAGACATGCAAATATAGCATGCCCGGGGAATGAGCTGCAAACCATTAAACTAATTAGAAACGCTGTAATTATATCATTAAATTGAAACATAAACTTTAACCAGACTATATCAATATTACAAAAACCGTTCTACTGGAGTTTGAAAGTGTGAAGACCAAGGAGAGCTTAGTTAGGACGACTTAGAAAGAAAAAAATCAGGAAGGGTCAAAGACACAAATGATTTACTTATTCGGGGTCAGACACAAAAATACTTGTGGGTTAATAGATCAATGACATTATTGTGCAATGCTTAATTTAGAAGGTAACAAATCAGGAAGGGTCAAAGCTCTTTTTGCATCATAACAACGGATAACTTAATTGAGAAATGAGAATCCTTATAACAACTGAAGAGGAAAAATACGTTTAAAAAAATTAGAAGAGTTTACATCAAATAATTGCAAATAAATAAATAAATAAATTAGGAGTGTCTTTTTTTAAAATAAAAAGAAGTCTTATTATTTTCATTATTTTTTGAAGTGAATTTTGGTTATTCTAATTATATTCATTCACTCTTTTTTTCCCTATATTTCTTGTTTTCATGCCTTATGAGAGAGAACTAACCTCACTGAATCAGCCATGCCTGGAGATCCCACTGTCGCACAAATTCAATGGTTTGACTTTCTTCCTGTAGATCACAAGTTAAAGAGGGTGTGACTTTTTGGGACGACAATTTTGTTTTGATTTGTTTTGTTTTGTTTTTTTGTTCTTTTTAAAAAAGAGATCACAATTATCATTTGCTATTGAAATAACGAAATTTATATCAAATCTCTCACAATAAAATGTATATTAAGGCATACGTTAAGCCACGAAATTATGATTATGATTGGTCGTGCTAATTTTTCAAACCCTGTAATGTATGAAAAATTTGCGTATGGTTTTATAAGAAATGAAGAAGAGATTTAGTTCTGATATCCAAAAAGAAAAACGAAGATATTAGGGCTCGTTTTGTTTTGTTCTATTTTTTTGTTTTTAAAATCTATTTCGTAAATCGATCTTTACGAATTGTTTTTCAAAAAGAAAAAAGAAAAAGTATGTTTGATTATATTAATATGAAAATAATTTTAAAATTAAAAAAATGGCCAAGTGGTTTATGATAATGACATGTGATGGTAGTTGGTTATAAGTGAAAATAATTTACAATAATTAAAGATAGCGTGTTTTAAATATAAACGGAAAAAAATAAAAATATTTTTAGGATGCTTTTTTTTATGAGATTTGAATATATATATATATATATATAAATCTAAAATACTTATATAAACAAATTTTTATAAATTTTTAAGAAACAAATATTTTTTAAACAATCATGTCCTTAAGTTCTTTGTAAACTTTTACTCTTCGTTTAAAGGGAAAAAAATGTAAAGTAAGGAAAATTAAAAAAACACATTTAAAAATAGAATAAAAACTTATTATTTTTTAAAAATTTTCTTTCTATTTTTTCTCCTGTTTATTTTTTTTTCCCTTTATCCAAATCAAACGTAGTTGCTTGTTTGTTGGGAGGGCTTATTATAAATGTATTAGTTTAATCTTTTCCTAATTTTTATTAAAAAAAGCTATTTATGGAAACAATAATTTTTTCATGTTATATAAAAATAAAGTTTATTATAGATAAATAAATACGTTAGGACCAACAAGAATTTAATATCCAAACCAAATAATACTTAAAAAGGGATCAATAAATGGATTCACGACCAAACGACATAATCAATGGATAAAAATTTGTTTCTTTCGATTTAATGGAAAAAAAAAAAAAAAAAAAAAAGGGCTATCCAAAACTGGCTTTTCTGATTTTGTTTTGAAAAATATAATTATTAGTTCTTTCAAGAGTTTTATTGTTAATCCTTATTTTTTTTAATTCTTTTTAATCTCTATAATTTAAAAAAAATTGAGTGATCTTTATTTTTAAAATTTTTATTTTTCAGTATTTTTAATTTTATACACTAAAAAAATTATTAAAATTAAAAGCAAAAGTTGATAAAATGATGAACATTACTCCCTCCGTTTAAAAATATAAAACATTTTTAATTGAATTTCACCCCTCAAAAAAATAGTTATTTTTATATTTATTTTTATTAAATATTTTATAATAAATATAAAGTCATTATCAATAAGGTTACTTTTAATAAAATAATAATTACACATCAAAAGATTTATATTTTTAAACATATAACTCTTCAAAAAATGTTTTACATTTTTGAACAAATACTTTACATTTTTTCACAAAAGAAATATATTTATCTTTTTTTTTCAAAATTTAAAACCAGCTTATTTGAGAGCCATAAAATGAGGTATAAATACGAGTAGCGTCTAAACGGGATTAAAATTGGTGTGCGCATCAAACTTTGTCCCAGTTTGTATGATAACTGTATTTATACCGGATTTGATTAGTTTAAATCGAATGGAATCGAATCAAACTTTGTACGGCAACTGTCTCAGCTCTGCAATCGTTGCCTTCCACCCACAATGACACCGTCTCCCTCACGTCTCGGATCTGCAATCGCCGCTACCCACAACCACAGCGTCTCGGTCCTCCCGTCCTCACGTCTCAGATCGGCAATCGCCGTCTTCCACCCACAACAGAGCCGTCTTCCACTCACGACAACGCCATCTCCCACTCACAACTACAGCGTCTACCTCGCGTCTCAAGTTCGTAGGTCCTCACGTCTCAGAGCTGCAATCGCCGTCTCCCAACCACTACCACAGCGTCTCCCTCGCGCCTCAAGTTAGTGGGTCCTCACGTCTCAGGTCTGCAATCGCCGTCTTCCACCCACGACCACGCCGTCTTCCACCTACAACAATGCCGTCTTCCACCCACAACCACTTCTCGTCTCGAGTTGGCTGGGGTTTTGTCGCCTCAAATCTGCAGTCGCCGTTTAGTTAATCTCCTATTTATAGAGAGGCAGATGACCATGCCGTACTCCATCATAGCCGGAAGGTTCGCGTTTCATCTTAGGAAGCTGCCTCTTTCTACATTCTCAAATTTTTATTTGTAGCAAAATAATATTTGAATTAACAATCTGCTTTTTATTATAATTATATTTTATTCCGCACAAAATTTTAAAAAATTAATTTTAAATGAATATTAATTTGATGATTTTATACCAAAAAAATAAAAAAAAACAATCATCACTTCTTATAATTTTATCAGATTTTATTTTTAATTTTTATAATTTTTTAATGTTTTAAATCACTAAAGTTAAAAATAAAATTTAATAAAATTATAATGACTGATTATTGAAAATATTAAAAAAATTATAAAAATTAAAAATAAAGCTTCATAAAATTATAAGGATTAATGGTTATATTTTTTTTCAAAAAAATAATATTTATAAAATAAAATTATATAAACACTTAATACTTATTTATGTGAAATGAAGTTCTATCAA